GATTTATCACATATCTGCTCATTTGAACAAAATATAACACAGCTATGACCAAAGCTGCGTAGATAAATGTAGAGAAATGACATATCCTTATTCCATTCCTTCCAAAGATGATTTGGTGCTAGATACTTACTAGAGTGAAGAAAGGAGGAGTCTTTTTGCTAGTTAGGCTTTTTCCAAATAGATCAAATAGTGAGACTGGTCTACATTCTACAGTTGATGCCTGAGCCAAAGGCACTCTTGAGGTCACTTGCTCTGGTTTAGAAGCAGATACACTCTGCCTTTCCTTTGTGTCACAAATGTTGTCCAGTTCCTTAGTTAATTCTTTGACTAGGACAGTCTTTATCCTTTGAAAGATAGCTTAGTGCAAATGTCAACTTGTCTTATTTTAAATTATTATAAATTAACTAGATATTTGTGAGAGTTTTGGCTTTGAGATTTTTATTTTTTTTAAAGCAGATTAAAAAAAGAAAACTAGGCATAGAGATTGTTTACTTTACTCATAGGTAGTAAGAGCATAATATAAACATTTGGGACTTACTGTTAAACCAACTTCCACTTGGATAATTGTATACTGTTTCTGCTTAACAGAAGTGAAAACGCATGACCTTAAGTGCAAACATTTGCTAGGTGCTTGGGATAGAAAATTAGGTAAGACCTAGTCCCCACATCCAGGGAACTTCAAGTCTACTGGCTAATAAAGATACACAAAGAAGCAATAGGATGTGTTAATTGCTATTGTAATGGATTCATCTAAGGTACTGAGGTGGCATATGAGTGGGAACCCATCCCTGGGAATGAGGGAGGGCATCCCTGCAGAGGATGAGATCGATTTGAAACTTAAAGGGAGGGAAGGACAAAGGTTTTCTACACCTGTGCGATCCAGTACGGTAGCCATTAGCTGCAAGGCTAGTTCAGCCAGTCCAAAATTTAAATGCACTCTAAGAGGATTAGATTTTGAAGACAGTACCAAAAAAGAATGTTAAATACTTCAGTAATATTTTGTATCAATGACAAATTAAAACAAT